GCGGGGCAGGCCGGCGGCCGCGGCCCCCACCCGAGGACCCCCGCATCTCCGGCCCTGTTCGTTGACTGGGTACAAAATAGGTCTACCTAAACGTTCCTTCTACCTGAATTCGCTAAGTCGGTTATTGTGCTGCTTAGTTATGGGGGCAGGAGGGGGCCCATGGCTTTCCACGGCGGTGGGGTGTGGCGAGAAGTGGGAGGCCCTGGCCGGCCCACTGCCCTCCGGCCTTCTCCTTAGGTAGGCAGACAGGCGTGGGGAGGGGGAGTAGGGAGGTGCCTGTGTGTGCGTGTGCATGCGGGTGTGCCCGACACAGGCGGGCAGGCCCAGACTTGGGAGCTGTGTGGGTGCGCAGCTGGGATGTAGGGGGTTTGGGATGTGGGCCCTGCTCTACTGGGCCCTCGGGTCGCCCCTGCGGATGCAGCTGGGCAGCAGCGGGGCTTGGTGTCCACCGGGATGGGGCTGACCAAGTCATACGCTCCAGCCTGCACCTTTCCGTTTGGTCTGGGGTCCTGGCCCAATAGGGCAGAGCCGGTAGAGCCGGGATACGGAAGTGCTAGTGCCGGTGTGGGCCACCTTGGCGGCGCCGGACCTTAGGGCCCTGTTTGCCACGGAACCGAGAACGCCAGGCCCAAGTCAAAGGCAGAGACCAACTGCGCGCAGCACTGGACCCAGGTGAGAGTGGGAGCGGGTTTGGGTCTAGCGATCCCGCCTCTCTCCGCATCTGCCGCGGTCCCTGGCTCACCCAAGAGCGTTGGGCCCCTGTCACCGCGCAACTCGCTCAGGTCGCCGCGGCCCTGGCAGACTCAGCAGTGGGCCTGGCACAGAGTCGGTACCCAATGAACGGTCAATGGGTGATGAACAGGTGAAGAAGGGGTCTTGGGGGCACCCCCGCCCCTGAAACCATGACACCGCCGGGCTCTGCCGTGGGGGGATCGGGGCAAGTAGAGAGTAGGAGGGGAAGAAAGTCTGCGCGTCCGGCCCCGCGCAGCGTCCCTGATCTAGGGGCCTGTGGGAGAGGAGGCGGGGGATACCTGATTCTCTGTAACTCTAGAGGCGGCGGCAGCTTCGCATGCAGTGCACGTTATTGCTCTATAGTCGGCATCGGACTAACTAAGAGGAGGAGGGAGCGGGCAGCCCCGGGAAGGGACCGGAGGAGGGTTGGGGCTGCATGCAGTGACGTCACAAAGGCGGCGGCCAATGGGGCGGGCCCTTAGGGCCGAGTCGCCGCCGAGGCTTTGGCATAGACGGGAAAGTTGGCAATAGAGTGCGGACCGTGCCTGCGGCTCGGGGAAGGGGCCAGCCTCTGAGAGGCGGGGCCTGAGACCCCCAGGAGGCGGGGCCAGCCCCTGAGAGGCGGGGCCTGAGAGCGCAGGAGGCGGGGCCAGCCTCTGAGAGGCGGGGCCTGAGACCCAGGAGGCGGGGCCAGCCCCTGAGAGGCGGGGCCTGAGACCCCAGGAGGCGGGGCCAGCCCCTGAGAGGCGGGGCCTGAGACCCCAGGAGGCGGG